CCCCCCCGGGCCACATCTCCTTCCTGGCTGGCCGGATGTAGAGCCCAGCACCCCCCCCCCAGGATATACAGAACGGGGACATTGGGAAGGTGGGAGGGTGAGACCTGGTGATGAAAGTACACTACCTCCTTCCAGGAAGTCTAGGAGGGGGCTTATCCCTGGGGTCAAGACGTGGACTTAGAAAGAAATTCCAGAACGCTGCCAGGAGAGAGAATAGCCTGGCACTTGATGGAGGTCATTGTATTCTGGACAAAAGAAAGCATCCTAAGACACGGCACTTGTTGAGGAGGGGGCATTGGATGGATACATGGATAATAGAAAAAGCTAGCAGAGAGAAAGGCATGAGGTTTGGGTACGTTCTTTCCTGTTTTTGGTGGTTGGTGACCCCAATAAAACTCTCACCCAGAGACTCAGTGCACCTGGTAGAGGAGAGCACAGTGACCTGACGTGCCTGTTGAGCAGGTGTGGCCCACTCCCCAGGGCACAAGAGGCAAGACAGGAACCACCTCAAGATCAGCAGCCCAGGTCACAGTGCATATGAGAAAGAGCAGCTCTGAGAGTGTTTTCCTCTGCATCTGGGGGAAGAGGACACTTCCAAGGGACCAGTCTTTGCGTTTCAGCCTAGGGTTTTCAAAGAACATAGCTCTGTTCCTCATTGTGTCATCAATTAAATTGGGAATGGCATTTTTTCACACTAATTTGAGCCAGGATTCTCAAGCTTGGCTCCACAAATGGTGTTCAGAGATAGCTCTGTTCCTCATTGTGTCATCAATTAAATTGGGAATGGCATTTTTTCACACTAATTTGGGCCAGGATTCTCAAGCTTGGCTCCACAAATGGTGTTCAGAGTGTCTGTAAATATGCTGAAATAGAATGCTAATTCTTCCAGAAACAATTTTTTTGAGCAGAGGAATGGCCGGCTTTCATCAGCCTCCCAAAGGAACCCAACAGAGGCTTAGGGCCAAGAACCTTATGGAAAAGTCCTCTTATAGAGCCTGGAGAAGTCACCTGAAGCTCTGGGGTCTGGGGAGACCCCTCTTATGGTCCCAGGGATCGTATGATCATAGTTTTTCAGTTATGGACATGTGCTTAGCCAGCAAGTTCTTCCCTACCCTTCCCCTCCCAAACCATTGACTGGAATATCTGTATGCAAAGAAATAAAACAGACCACAGGAAAAGCTGGGGGAGTCAGAGTCCTCGGGGCTCCAGATCAGAAGAACACTTCCCTGACATCACCATGTGACTATTCTTAGAGGAGAGACCGATTCCCTGGAGAGTAAGTATATGGCAGAGACTCCCACCATGTAATCTCTGGGTGGGCCGCCATATGTATGGCTGGGGTGCAATTACATTCCACTTATAGACACATAAGCAGTGCCAGCCCCTGCTGGCCAGGGCTTCTACCCACATGCTCTCTAACGAAAATCAAGCACCAATATTGTCATGACATTGACTCCACTCTTTGACGCACACCTTGAAGAAGACTGACATGTGTCTATATAAAGACCGAAATTCTTTGGCTAATTAGGACTTTCACAACATTCGGATCATCATTTTAAAGGAAAATCAGCACCCGCAATTCTATTACAGTCGTTTCTTTTGAAATGGGTTGAACAACTCCATGCCAAAACTGATTTGAATATGTCTAGGCCATAAGTTGTGACATGAAAAAGAAGCCAAAGATAGATTTCTGATGATTCACCAAGGAATGGAAAGAGGGCACACTTTGGGTCAGACAGGCCCGAGTTGGGATCCCTGCTCTGCCACTTCCTGTGTTATCTTGGGCAGTTTACATGACCTCCATTTCCTCTGCTATGAGAACGAGGATTCAATAAATGTTAGTTCTTCTGCCTCTCACATGACTGCCACATCACAGGGCTGGAAGGAAGCCTAGAGGTCATCTAGACCAGGGCCTCTCAGACTGTGATTTGCACGATCACCTAGGTATCTTATTAAAATGCAGATTTCGATTCCTAGGTCTGCAATGGGCCCTGGGATTTAGCATTCCTCAGGCTCTCCAGTGACAGCAGATACTGCTGGTCCAAGGACCTCAGTTTGAGAAGCAGGGATCTAGTGCAGATGCTTCATCTTACAGATGGGATATCTGGTCACAGAGAAGGGCAATCACTAGGCCAAGGTCTGTCTGTAGACCCCTGGGGGTGGGGGGTACTGTCGTGCTGCATGGCAGGAGCCTCTCTCCCTTCCTTTTCAGTCCTGTGCTTGCTTCTGTTCCCTCCACCTGCCCAGCTCCAGTCTTAGAAGGAAAATGTGAACAAGCAGGCACAGCAAGATCTGGATTAGATTAAGAGTCAAGGCCAAAAAAAAAAAAAAAAAAGATAGAAGAAAAAACGAATAAACAAAGAAATAAAAAGAAAGAAGGAAAGGTAGGAATGAATGGGGTGGCTTCTATTGGCTCCAGCAAGGACTGACTGTAAGATTTCCCTCTATTCTGTTCTTGCTGGAGATTTATAGTACTTGGATCAGATCCCTAGACTGACAGAGATGGAAGGGAAAAAAAAAAAAACAAAAAAAAAAAAAAAAAAAAAAGATAGAAGAAAAAACGAATAAACAAAGAAATAAAAAGAAAGAAGGAAAGGTAGGAATGAATGGGGTGGCTTCTATTGGCTCCAGCAAGGACTGACTGTAAGATTTCCCTCTATTCTGTTCTTGCTGGAGATTTATAGTACTTGGATCAGATCCCTAGACTGACAGAGATGGAAGGGACACTAGAGGTCCCAGGCGATGTGGCCCAGCTGGCCCAATACCATGCAGCTGGTTGGAGGCACAGCTGGGTTTAGAGAGCAAGTCTCAGGACTCCAGGACCTAGAACAGTTGTCTCCACACCTACTGTCTTCCTAGACACGTTAAAAATGTATACTGGTATGTAAAACACATTTCTAAATGAACTCAGAGTTCGACAATTGCAAAAGCCCTGCAGAGCACAAACTTGCTGTGGACGCACTTGAAAACCATTGGCTGAAGGTCAGTGAAGGAGGCGTTGGGGCTCCGAACCAAGTTTGTTTCCTAAAGTTAGAAGCGTTGGGGGAGGGGAAGTGGGCCAGGGGAGCTGGGAGTGGAGAATGTGACTGGGGAAGGCCAGTGGGGCAGACCCGGCCCCTCCAACTTAGGAAGACCCTTCCCCCGGACTATGCGGCCCCTGGGCTCTCGGTAGGCGGCCCTGGAAATTCCGAGTCCCCCATCTGAGTACTGCAGGACATCGGGCGGGGGTGGCTCACTGGTGAGGGAGGGAGGCCTACCTGTGGCAGTCATGCCAGATCCACGCATGGCGGCCGTTCTTGGGCCGGAAGTCAGACTGGCCGTTGTTGTGGATCTGGGAGGAGAAGCGCAGAAGCCGGCGGTAGCCCGTGGTGGGGTTGGTCTGGGCGGCCGAGGCCGAGAGGCAGTTCTCCTCCATGGCGCACTGGAGCATGAACATGGGCCGGTCCTCCAGGTACGTGGTCTGCTGCACAATGTCCGCACTGAGGACAAGGTCGGGGGCAGCTGGGGAGGACAGACATGGTGTTCAACAAGCCGAGAGACCCCCTCTCCCAGGCTTTTCCTTCTGATTCCTAAGCTGGGACAAACCCCTGCCGCTGCCTACCACCCCTTTCTGGAACGGGTTCAAGGGCTCCCCAAGGTTACCTTCCTTGCTTAACACAACCCCAAATCACCCTTTCCCTCTCTGAGAAGCATCTCTGACACTTCTTCAGTTATTGGTGCAGATGGACAAAGTGTTGACAAGTGTTGAGTCTGGGTGACAGGTCCACAAGGGACTATTATATCACTTTTGCCACTTTCAAGGGCTCCAAATTTTCCAAAATAAAAAGCCAAAACAGTAATGATGTGATTGTGCTACCCAGAGAGAGAGAGAGAGAGAACATTGCTAACATCTTGGTCTGATTCTTCTGGGAATGATATATTTTCCAACATGTATAATATTGTATGTAGATTTATGGTCTGCTAATACTATTCCCCTATTTCCACATTGATATGTATCCATTGCAGCATTCATTTCATGGCTACATAACATTTAACTCATAATCCTATCTATTCCATATTTTTAGATACATCGGTTGTTTGGAATTTTTCCCAGTTGAAGATAAAGATGTGATGAACATCCTGCAGTAAATCTATATTTTTCTTTAGAATATATTTGTATAACTGAAATTCTAGGAGAAAGCGTTGCTTATTTTTAAGGCTCTGATACATAACTGACAAATTGCCTTCTGAACGGGTTCCTCCAGTTTTCACCTGCACACAATGTTGCTCTAGGTATGAGTTTTCCCCAAGTGCCTGTCTTTTTTAAAAAAATTTTAATTTACTCAGTGCATTACACATTGCAGGTGTTAAAAGAATGGCTAATGGCTAATGTCTACAATTTATGTTTACTAAGCAATTGTATTAGGCTTAGTGACTTTACAGAAGGATTAACTGTAAGTTTCCCTTTAAAAGTGAGCTTCCATCGAGCATTTCTAGTATACTTCAATTCACAGAAAAGTCGTGTATGAATTATTTACAAGCTCCTGCTGTCTTCTGTTTTGGCAAGTTCCTTGTAAATTTCCCAAGTGAGTGTAGTCTGTGAGCTTTGCTTCCTTCAAGTTCACCAGTGCCTGGAGCAGGCTGTCACCTGCCCCTCCCCTGCATGTGCAGCCCAGAAGGTCTTCAGTAGACGGTGGGAGCTCACTGGCACCCTCTAGAGGGTAGATGCACCCACCAGAACTGGGCATGGACCAGAAATGAGGCATACAGATGGGACGTGGGGGAGGGGATGAAAACGTAAATCAGGAGGTTCCCGTTTGCTGCAAATATTTCCTCTTAAAGGGCATGCCAGGATGTGGCACTGCTCAGCACTGAGTGTTCTGGGCACACATTTTCTGAGTGTGTTGTGTGAGTCTCTTTGTAGTTGGCAGCACCAGATGGACAGCCCCTCTGCTTGCCTCTGAGCTGAGCACAGGGCTCGCCAGTCAGGCCCTCCTCTTTCTGAGGGGAGGCCAGCCCTCCCTCCAGCTCAGGAGGAGCAGAGCTATTAAGGTGACATGGTCTGTGATCGGGGAATGGATCTCCCTAACATGCATGGGCCATCGGCAACTCATCTGAGGCTTTTTTTTTTTTAACCCACCCACCCTTCTCTCTAGTGGAGCACTCTCTGTAGGGAGCACTCTGCTGGAGTCTGTGGCCAGAACCGAACAAGGAAGGAATGAAGCCGCCTTCCATTCTGGCAGAGAGACAGACAGAAGCCCATAGTCATTCTTTAATGATGGTCGTGATAAGAACTCGCAGGAGAAATATGGGGTACAATGGAATTTTTTTTTTTTTTTAAAGATGACCAGTAAGGGGCTCTTAACCCTTGGCTTGGTGTTGTCAGCACCACACTCAGCCAGTGAGCGAACCGGCCATCCCTATATGGGATCCGAACCTGTGGCCTTGGTGTTATCAGCGCTGCTCTCTCCTGAGTGAGCCGTGGGCCGGCCATGGCTATGATGGAATTTTAACAGATGGACCCTGTCGGGTGGGGGATCAGGAAAGATTTCTTTGGGGGAAGAAGTTACATTCTAGTTGTTCTCTCAAGGATGAACAGGGATTTGAGGGAATAACTCTAAGGATGAAGGTATGTTGGGCAATTCAGACAAAACCAGTGGACGTGCCAGGACACTGAGGTGTGAAGGACAATCCAGGCCAGCATGGCCAAGACACAGAGGAAGAGAGGGGGTGCCTGGCAGGAAGCTGCACAACATGAGCCCTGTGCAATTCCCTTGGTTTACTTAAGTGTGCTGGGAACCGTGGATGGAACTGGAAGAGGAGGAAGATATGAGTGGGAGGCCTGCAGGGGCACGTGTCACCGTGGGGACCCCAGTGAGACCTTCGTGATGATACAGTATGGAAGGTGGTCATCTGGACGCAGGCAGTGGGACGGAAAGACGCAGAAGGAGTCGAGAAGATATGGAAAGGTAAAAACCATGATGGACTGGTTATGGGGGTGGTGAGAAAGAAATATCAAGGAAGACATGCACATTCAGGCATGTGCCATTGGCTGGATGAAAAAAAGTGATTATAAAGGGTAACCTGGAGAATTACTTTACTTCTCTAACTACTCTAAGATGCATTTAACCAGGCCTGCCCACAGCTATCTATGCTCCTGGCCCACATGGCTACTGCCCTGCTGCAGACACACTCTGAGTGATGCCTTCAGCCTGAGCTGAGGGGCACCCTGAGCAGCAGCTGCATAAAATTCACTTCTGCCAGGAGGAGGTTGAGGGCATTGTTCAACTCTCAGTCCTCATAAAGAGAAGTTCCCTCTGATCTCAGTATCCAGAATCGTGGGCTTCTTTGACTCATGGGTTTGTTTCCATCTCATGGGTACTGTAAATCATATTAATGGCCAGTTTTCCCTTTTTCCTCTGGCTGCTAGGAAGCTCACTGTGAAATTAATGATCTACTATAGTAGATGTATAAAACTCCATAAATAAATATTTTAAATTAACCTCTCTTCTGGCTCCATTTGAAGCCACTACCTTTTTGCCAGTATCGACCTTTCTTTCATCTGTTTTTATCTTATGCTATCTTGAATTTTATTCAGATTTCTATTATCTTAATTCCCTTTTGAAGAAGAAGAGATATTGCAACTATAAACAAATTGCTAAATAAACAAAAGGCCCCTGGGGGGCTGGTAAGGGCGATTCCCGTCTGTCCTCTCAGACAGGATGTAATCACTTGTCATCTGCCCAGAGGAGCTCGTGCTAGGAGTTGAGGATCCTGCTTTACGAGGCCTAGAAAACGCTGAGTGAGTCTAAATGGGGCTGTGGGAGAATGCGACTGATAGAGTTCAGGTTTAATCTTCTCAGTCACTCTCTGTGATGGTGACATGACAACCCATCCTATTTATTAAGCACTTTCAACTGTCACATTCAATTTTCAGTTTCTAGGAAAAACAACAACTGCAGATCACAGCAGTTAACTAACTTTGCCAAGATCAGCTAACAAGGCAGGGTCTGGTCTCAAGTTCTCTGGCCAGTTCCTGGGTCCCCTGATGGATCTAGCTAAGTGTGAGTTTATAAGGCTGGGGTCGGGAGGTGGCATTTGGGCTCAGGAGGACACCACGAGCACAAGGCCAAGGGGTCGGTCCTCTCTCTCTTAGCATGGAAGGGAGCCCTCATAAGCTGGGTCATTCTGAATCCTGGCTGCTGTTCCCCTTCTCTATGTCCCATCTTTCTAGGACTCCCAGGAGTCACCAGGCAGCTAAGTTATCTCCAGGGTCTGAAAACAGGGACAGATCCCCAGAGCAGGTGGAAGGGAAGGATGCAGCATGCACTGAGCACACACATGCCTGCTTTGTCTGCTTTAGGAACCTCTGAGGTGTTAGGAGCCCTCAGTCACGACACTTGCCTGAGGTTGCCGAAATAGTCCACAGTGGCCCTGCGACTTGAACCCAAGTCTACCAGCCTCCCGAGTCCTTCTCTCCTGCCCTCCTCTCCGCTACGTCAACAGGCAAGTTTCTGTGGTTGGGGGCTGGGGGCGTCCCTCTTGGCCCCAATGCTTCTCACTTAAGAATCTCATTCTGCCTTCCCCTATTGCTTGGCTCATAGCAGATGCCCCAGAGCCTTGCAAGGAATAACTGGAGAGAATTCGGTCCCCTCCTGGAGCCTGGTGGGGTGCGGAGGCAGGAATGTGACCCCCAGGAACTCTCACTTTCTGAGCAGGCGACTCCGGCCCCATACTGCACCCCGCCCTGGGGGCAGGCCACGTCCTCCCCGTCGTGGCGGCAGTGCGCCAGGGACAGCTCCGTGCCTGAGCACTTGACTCCACTCATGACCACTTTGTTAGCGTTGATGTCTCCGTGCCAGTACCAGGTCTCCTGGATGAATCAACAAAGGGAACAGCCAGTGCGTCACCTTGAAGTGTCACTTTCTCACATTCTATCAACTTGCAGCTTCACAAAAATCCCAGGGTTTTATGATCCCACTTTTCAGATGGAGACAGCACGACCACAGAGAGTCACTTACCCAAGCCATGCAGTTAATTGGTGGCAGAGTGAATGGGAATCCAAGTCTCCTGACCCCGGTATTTGGATTCTGTCACTCTGCCCCTTGGGAAGGTAGAACTAAGGTGTGGTCGGCCGGTGGTACAATGTTGCATGTCAGGAATGGCAGATGCCTGCAACTCATGATGGCCACCCCCTAATGCAGGCCAGCACAGACATCGCTAATCAATCATAGCTCCCTCTCCTCTAAGCCTGAATGTCCTTCTTGACACAGTGCTCCAGGAAGTCACTTGCTTGGAATTGGCAGGAGAAAAGAAATCTATCTGCATATGTCAATAGTTAGGTATTGAAGCCTAATGTCTGGATTTATTCTGGGGAAGACAATTAATAGAGTGTTCTGCACAGAGGCTGAGGAGAGCGCTACAATCCTGAGATTTATGGGTCCCTTTTGATTGATAGGGCTTCAAAGCACTGTTAGGATAGATTCTCACACTTCAGAGAAGTTTCTAGCAGATGAAAATGAGGAACAGAGGGGGACTGTCAGGTACAGAGCTGGGATGAAAATACAGATGCTGTGTTCCTGGACAGCGGCCTCTTGGGTTTGGAGTCTGAGGCAGGATTAGGGTTCAGGGAAGTCTTTCTGGGATCCTCAGAGAGAGATCATCAGAACAAGAAAGGGCTTATAAGTATGTCATCCAAACCCTCTTGTGATAGTTAATTTTATGTGTCAACTCCGTTGGGCCAAAGTACCCAGATATTTGGTTAAACACTATTCTAGATGTTTGGGTGGAGCAGTTTTATTATTTATTTAAAAGATGACCGGTAAGGGGATCTTAACCCTTGGCTTGGTGTTGTCAGCACCACGCTCAGCCAGTGAGTGAACTGGCCATCCCTATATAGGATCCGAACCCGTGGCCTTGGTGTTATCAGCACCGCACTCTCCTGAGTGAGCCATGGGCCAGCCCTTGGGTGGAGCAGTTTTAGATGAGATTAACGTTTAAATCTCATGACCCTCCATAATGTGGGTGGGCCTCATCCAATCAGTTGAAGGCTTTAAGAGATGAAAAGACTGACTTCTCAGGAAGAACAAAGAATTCTGCCTGCTGACTAGCTTCAGACTCCGGCTGCCTGGGTCTCCAGCCTGCTGGGCTACCCTTCCAATTTCAGACTTGCAGATTTCAGCCTCAAAATCATGGGGGCTGATTCCTTAAAATCTCTCTCTCTCATTTTCATTCATACATATATATATAAACGTGTATATATATACATTCATACATCCTATTGGTTCTGTTTCTCTGAAGAACCTGAGCAATACCCCTCTCATCCTCCAAATGAGAAAACTGGGGCCTTGAGAAGGGATGCAGCTTGTGGTTAGTGGAGGATTTGGGGCTGACATGAGGCCTGGGCCCATTTCATGACCCTGGCTGAGGCCGAGGTGTCTTAGGAATGAACTGACAGGGAACAAAAACATCTAGACTAAGGTTTTATCGAAATTTGGTTCTGTTTTTCCACTCTCCTTGGAGAATTAGAGAGGGCCATGGCTTGTCATAAACAGTGTTAGCAGAAACACTGCCGTTGCCCTGGAAGCCGAGCTCCCGGAGGGCATGGGCAGTGGCTTCAGTGTCCTGGCTCTTCTGTTCACTGGAATGAGGATCCCCAGGGCAGGGCTCTGGGCAGCCTCTGCTCAGCACTCAGCACCTCCCCTCAAACTGACTTGGGCCCCGCCAGCCTCTGGGAGACAGACAGGCTCAGCAAGGACACTGTTCTCTTCTCTCCCTAACAAACCCCTTTCTTAGGGTCCAATAAAGGCCACTTGGGAACAAGAGTTGGAGACAGGGTTAACAGAGCAAGATGGGGGTCTCAAAGCACTTTGCTGTTCTGTAAGATGCTTAATGAAAGTCTTTGGAGTCAGGATATTGAAGATGAGATTATTCATTCCACGTCATTGGGAGGACAGCTGAGGTGTGGCAGGGTGGCGGCTTTGCCCTAGTCCATCATGCAGCTGGCTGGTGGGAGTGCAGTCAGGAGTAGACCCTGAGCCTCCTACTCCTGGGCTGCCTTGTGATAGGAACGGGTGGGTGGGAACGAGGACGAGAGCTTAGTGGCTCTCACCTGTGTCACTCTCTCATTGGGGAAGGGGCCGATGCACCTGCTGTGACAGGGGCTCTGGCCACAGCTTGGAGATTTACTAGCTTATCAATGGGAGAATGCATGAGACACAGACACCAGCTAGGAAACATGTCCTGACAAGAGGGGACTTTCAAGGGGGCGAGCTGAGGTGTTTGGGGTGTTGGGCTTTGAACTGGGTGGTCACCATTGCCCTGAAGGACTGAGCTGCTTCACTCTGCAAAAGGCACATCAGGGAACCCAGGCTCAACCCTCAGCCCAGGGTACAGTGTGCACAACTGGAGTGGACCCTTGAAAGTGGCATCCAGCGCCTCATTCTGCAGCCAGGAAACAGAGGCCAGAGGTGGAGAGCGACCCACCCAAAGACTCAGGGTGGCAAGAGGCAGAGCTGTGTCTAGAATGAGATCCCCTGCCTCCCAGTCCAGGGCACTTTGCTCTGTGCTTCCCGCATGGCAGGGGAAGATCCTTGGAAGAGGGCCTGACAGAAGATGGGAGGGGTCAGACTGCCTGGAGGGCAGGTGCCAGGGCTGAGGTTAGGGCATCTCACCTGGAAGGCATTGCTGGCGAATCCCAGGCCCAGCTGCCGGCAGACCACCATGGCCTCCACGATGCCCCAGTTCTCGCCGCACACTGTCCCCCACACGAGGGACCCATTTCTCTCCACCAGCACCTCCACGCGGCCCTCGTAGGGATTGCGACCTCCGTTCAAGCGCAGCTGTGGACACAAAGGCAGGCATGGTCACCATGAGGGATGCAGGGGAGCTTCCTCACACTATTGCCATCAGCCCCAATTTCCCTGAGCCCAGAGCCAGGCGGTCCTGCCCGGGACGCACTCAGACTCAGCAGCATTCTTGAGAGCCTCCTGGGTGGAGCCACTGTGCCCAGCATGGTCTTACGATGAGGTCCCCACCACAGGCATCCTGGGGCCCTGGAGGCCCAAGCAGCTGGGGAGGCCCACTCTACTGTCCCCACTGCCCCCACTGTCCCCCACTGCCCCCTACTGAGCACCACAGCAGAGTCTGACTCTGCTGCTGCTGCTACTCAAAAGACCATCAGCAGGGGGCTGCTCTCTAATCAGACACTTGGGAGGATGTGCTCAAGGGGTCTTAAAATGTTAGAATTTCCCAAGACTCCTTCCTGGGTCCTCTTCTCTTTCCATACTTCTGCCTGGCTGGTTCCAGCTTCTGATCTCATCTGGTCCCAGGACTCCCCACTGGCCTCTCTGAGACCCATATAGTCAAGTGCCTATATGACAATTCCACTTGGCATCTCTGAGATCCCAAATCCGAACTTGTCCTCTTTTCTTTCTCTCCCTAAACTTGTTCTCTATCTCTGCCCTCCCCCCTTGTTGCACATCCTGTCATAATTTTCATCCTGTGGATTTTATCTCCTGTCTCCCTCCTTCTCCCAGGAGTCATCCCTTCTTGCCTGAGCCGGACCTCCCCAGCCTTCTGACAAGCTCTTGCAGATCTTGTCAATGATCCCTTCTCTACTCAGAAGCCAGAGTCGTGTTTTACAGACACCCGATCATGCCACTCTCCTGCTCAGAACCCAGGAGTGGCTTCCCGTTGCCCTGGTAATTTCCTCTTCAGCCTGTCTTGTGTCTCTCATCCCTATTCTCTGACCTCCAGGCCCTGGGTCTTCTTCCAGTTTCCATGGCTTGCTCTCTGATTTTCTTGGCCACATCACACGGAAAGTGGCACCTTTCACACTGAAGGCTGCTATGTACAGACAACCTTTCGTGTGGTTGATCCCTGTTCATCTTTCAGATTCCATACGCAATGAGGCCTCCCTCCGACTGGGGTCAGAGCCCTGTTACACATTCTATAGCTCCCTATACCTCTCCTTCCTAGCATTTCTGGCAATTCTAGTTAAGCTAATTCACAGTTTGTTTACCATCTGTCACCACTGCTAGAATATAAGCTCCAAAGGCAGAGCTGTTATTTGTACAATTTACTGTGTGTTCAATACCTAGGACAAACATTAAGTACTCCACAACTATTTCTGGAGGGAACGAATAAATGATCAATCTTACGGAAGGAAAGCACAGACCAACATATATGAGCTCAAGCAGGGAGGTCTGGAGTTTGAGGAAGGGTTTTGAAAATGCAACCCTCATCCGAATACTTTACCCTGCCTCCCTTTACACCTGGAGCCACTAATCCCTTTGGGATAAGGCATGACACCTCTGAGAAGTGTAACGCACCAGTCCTTAGCAACAGCATGGACCTTAGGGAATGTGTGTTAATTCTTCTGTGGACTTAGGGCTACTGGGTCAGTGAGGCCAGGCACTAACACACAAGCCAAGGCAGTCCTGATGCCAGATCTCCCTACGGGGTTATGAGTGGATGGATTAAACGAGCTCATCTGTGCCATGAGCACTGTAAGTGCTGAGGGCATGCTAGCCATAATCCTAACAATGATCGTTATTAGGGTGGGCATCCCATCAGAAACTGAAATTCTCTTCAGAGGAGATAGAGGGGGTCACACAAGCAGGAGGAGGGCTAGTGAGAGGAGGCTGAGGTTTGTCTCCTGGGGTCTCTAGCCATGAGCTCAGGGTGGAGGTGGGCACTGGGCACTGCATTGGGCATGGATTTATATCACCACAGCTAACATATCTTTAGGCCTATGTAGAAATACAGACAACCAAGATGAGTAGAACTATTGGGGAAGCCCTAGAATGGGCTGATCCCTGGCAGGCTGCAGGCTACTCAGTGCTAACGTCTGGGGAAGGTGGCAGTCAGTGCATCTGAGCCCAGCAGGATCGTCTCTGTGTAACTGCGAGCCATCCCTCTGCTGCTCATTTATCGGAGACCTAGTAATGGCCTGTATTTCCCTCCATATTTCCTTTATGGAAGTACTATGGCAAACCCATTTTATAGACGGGAAAGTGGAGTATCGGATAAGGTAAGCGTCTCAACTACCACACTGCACCACCTGCAGACCATCTTCATTAAGTGCCCTTTTCCAAGGGTGATTTGTCCAAAGGCAGGAAGCACTGAATCAGACCCAAAGACCACGCTGAGAGTCACAGTCGGGATGCAGGATGGGGGCTCCCACTGGGGTGACAAGCTGTGGATCCCAGCCTAGGTGTTCTGAAGCACTTACTGTCCCTTGGGGTCCTGGGGTCTGAACTGACCCCTGGGGCTCAGGGCACTCACAAAAGCACCTAATTTTGCCCCTTGTGAAAACCACCTCTGGTTGCCCTTCAGCAGCTGCTGCCTCGGCAAGGAGAAGCCCCCCAACACCTCCCTTCCCATTCCCCTGGCCCTCTGAGTCTCCAGCCTCCGGGCCTCTCTGCCAGGACAGACAGACACAGCAGGGACTGTGATAGAGACTGCAGGCCTCGGATTAGACCTCGGGATGAGCCCTTTAAAGACCTGGGCGCTGATTTTTGGGAGCCTGAAGCTAAGCTTGGAGGGTCCTCTCTGGGTCCCCTCAGGTGGTTTCCCCACAGACTGTGCCCTGCCTTACTGCTGCCCCTGGAGCAGATCTTCCTGGCCCATCCGCCACTGCAAAAACCGACTTTGCTTTTTTGCCTTGAGGCCAATAAAAGATGAGGATAGAGGAGCCTTCTTCCTGCTATCAGAGGCGGCAGAGCTCCCAAGTCTAAGCTCAGCGTGAAGGCTCCTGTCTCTAGCGTCTTCTCCCCTTGTCTATTGCTGCTTGTGTGGCCCTCCCCTAAGGTGGTTGCCTGTGTGGCAGTGTCCCTGACCTGGGTTTTAAAGCTTAGGGAGGTCTCAGAGGCTCTGGCTGCAACATCGACTCTGGGGCCAAGAAAACATGGGGCCACCACTTCCCAAAGCTCCAAGATGCCGCCATGGTTCTCTAAGGCTGACCGCACCTGGAGCAGTTTCTGTGACAGGGAGCAGAGTTTGACTGCTCTATAAGGAATCTGGCACTTGACACATTGGGGGGCTTTTCTCATTTTCCAGAGAAGACTGGGGTGCCCAAGAGGGGCTGGCCATGAAGCTCTAGCTTGGCACAGGACACTGCTCACCCATCCCAGAGCCTCTCCCAAGGCGCCAGCATTCTGGGGATCTCCTGGCTTGCACTGAAGGCAGCCTGACTTCACCGGTGACAATGGAGCCCCAAGAAGCCTCGGGGGCAGCCAGGAGTCTCTGGCCTCACCCTCTCCACCACACCAGCCAATGAAGCAGCCAGGGAAGGTCAGTCTTTCTCAGAGCCTCTTAAAACAGCCCAGGCATTTCCCTTTCTCTGCTCCTCTGTGGCAGCAGTACGGGTTGTAAAGGAGGAAGGAAGGACGTGAAGAGCAGGCAGCTACATTTTTCAAACATAAAAAGAGAAAACAAAACACCTCCAGCCAGTGGAGTAGGGCATGTTTTGATAAGGTTGTGGCCAGCCAGTCCCACGCCTATTTTTGGAGGTGGTGGGGTAGGAGGTTAACACAACGCAGATGTTAACGTGTTAGGAAGCCGGGCACTTCCCAGGGCACATTCCACAACAGGGCTTGATCCTGCTTCCAGGCCAGGGCCAGGCCCACAGTTCAGAGGGAAACTGGAGGTTGGCAAGGGGGGCCCCCAGGATGGAGTAGCTTGCCTGGGAAACCCACCTGCCATTCCCAGGGCCTCCTGCCCAGACTCCTCTCTCCCAGCAAAGAAGGAAATAAGGCTTTGCTATTGCTGGACGAGCAAAACCATCCAGTTCCAAGTCTGCTGCCTTTAATAGCCACTCAGTAGAAAAGTCCATTTCCTAATGAACATGGCTAGGAATCACCTCTCAAACCTCCTATTTTCAGAGGAGAAGACTGAAGAGTCAAAGCGATTCACTAGGAAATCAGCTGTAAGTGATTGTTATGGACTGAACTGTGTCCCCTCCCCAATTTGTATGTTGAATCCCTAGCTCCCAATGTGACTGTTTGTGGATACAAGATCTTTAAAGAGGTAGTTAAGGTCAAATGAGATCATATAGGTGGGCCCTAAGCCAATCAGACTTTGGTGTTCCTATAAGAAGAGGAAGAAATACCAGGGATGTGCACACACAGAGGAAAAAGTGGCTGAGGACGCAGTGAGAAGGTGGCATCTGCAGCCAAGGAGAGAGGCCGCAGGGGAAACCAACCCTACTGACACCCTGATCTTTGATGTCCAGCCTCCAGAACTGTGAGAAAACAGATGTCTGTCGTTTAAGCCTCTATCTGTGGTCTTTTGTTACAGCAGCTTGAACTGACTAACGGTGATAAAACTCAGAAGTGTTGATTCTGCCCAGTGTTGTTGGTGACATCCTATGGAACCCCACACCATGCTCATGCAGTCAAGAAGTGCTGTCAGAGCAGGGGCCCAGCTGGGGAACTACCCCAAAGCCTGATGTGTGTGCATCTGCTCATTTTTAACATCAGCACTCAGGGAGCTCTTCCAGTGTGGCCTCTCTGTCTATGCAAAGGGTCCGTGCCAGGGTGTCTTGGGTGCAATAGACCTTGAGTCCCCTGCAGAAAAGACTGAGTTGCCATCACATCAATGTCCTGTCCCAGAGCAGGGCATGGCACACAGTGGGTGCCCAACATCCGCCACTAAGGAAGGTGGTGCTTATACCTGTTTTCTCATTCGGCACATTTACAAATGGTAGGTGACAATGTCATTGACAGTGACAGCAGCAGAGCCTGAGCCCTTTCTGAGTTCATCTCAGAGCAGTGTAACACGCCCTTAGTGTCTCACAGAGTGAGGCCACCTGGCCTACACTCTGGGGCCTCAGCGACACGGTCCCCTTTGCTCACCTTCTTCTGAAAGCCCATGGCAGGGATGTTACATCTCACTCCAGCATCTTCCTCGTGGTTGCAGCCCTGAGACTCAGCGTTGAATTTGCAATCTATGATGGATTTCTCGTTCCCTGTGCACTCGATCTCATTGAGGTGGATGGGGCCCATCCCTGGAGAGGGAAAACAGACATGTGCTGTGAAAACTTCCGAAGAAAATTTTCTGGCACTGGCAAGAAAGTCCTGGCTGATAGAACTTGCCTCTCCCATCCTCAAAACTCTCCCAACTGCCTCTTCTAATCAGCTCAGTGACCCAGGCTGCTTCTCCCTGGAGAGAACATTGCTAATTGCCTTGACATTCACTTCTCCCATAAGAGCAAATAAAGTTTCTTACTAACTTGCTGTGTGACCTTGGCCAGACCACTCAGCCTCTCTGAGTGTTGGTTTTCTCACATAAACAAAGGAGTTAGAGTAGAAGGCATCTAAGTTTCCTTTCCAACTTTAATATTCCATGCATTTTTGAATCTGGAAGTGGTATCTATTGCTATATCAGTCAGGGTCCCTGCAGGAAACAGATGGCATATACAAATTGAATGATTTGAGTTACAAAAAGGGATTTTTAAAATTAAGGTGTGAATGGAGTGTTTTGAAATCATAAAGCATAGTCCAGTACTCAGGGGCTACTCACACTGGGCACAGATGCCACCCCAGGCCTGCAGGAGTGAGGGAAAGGAGCCAGTATCTAACCCAGGAGAGGAAAAGAGCTCTGTGGAGCCACCTGATCAGAGCTGTCACCCTTGGTGGAGGAGCACGGCACCTGGGGGATTCTGCAGGGAGAACAAATGCCCCGGCCCCTCTCCTTTCCACTATCCCAGTTCCTGCCAGTGCTCCTTGTTGGACAGGCCCTACCATGCTTCTGGGGTACTGGAAATTATGGACAAGGGTGGAGAGTGGATCTGGAGGGACAGAGGAAGACATCCAGCACATGACCCTTGGTGACGATGCGGGAAGCTTTTTGTGCAGTCATTGAGATAACAAGAGAGAGCCTCCCACTGCTGGGGAGAGAGAAGTCCCAGCCTGGCCAGCCTTCAGTTCACTTCTGCTCACAAAACTAATGCTGCTCTGTTGAGTCCATTGGGACGGGTAAAGCCGGTTCTGTCCAGGTGCCCTGGGCCGCACCAACTCCCATCTCCTCGGTCCTGCTCTGCTGCTCAGTCCTCCCCCTCTGGTCCTTCCCAGCCTCCTCTTGAGGGTCCCCAACACCTCCCATCTTTACCACGACTTGACCCCACGCCTTCCTCCAACCTGTCACTCTCCTCCCTTTCAGGGCGAACTTTTTGGAAGAGTCACCTGTTTTTGTTCTCTCTACATCCAGGGCCGGCAGTGCCTCTGGGTTCCTCTGCCAGTGCTCCCCGTCTCGGCAAACGGCACCTCCAACCACCCAGTTGCTCTTGCCAGAACCTGGAGGTCGTCTCCGGTACCTCCTCCTGCTCCTATATCCATGACAACCAATCTATCCTCAGCTTCTGCTCAATCCCCCACAATCTGGATGCTTTTTTTGTTCCATTTCTGCCACCACGACACGAGTCTGACCCTGTCATCTCCCCTTTGGATAATGCAAAAGCCTTCACTCTCCTTCCCTCTTGCTTACTCCATTCTATTCACCACCCAGCAGCCCAGGAGGTTTTTAACACATGTTGAATAATGTCACTCCCATCTGAAAACCCTCTAATGGCTTCTCACTGCACTTGGGGAGAAGTGCATGGATCCATGGTGACCAAATGGCTGTCCAGGCCCTGCGTGATCTGGCCTCCCACTTCTGTCCTGGCTCTGCCTGCTCCACTCCACCTCTGACACACAAACACCTCGAGCTGAGCTGCCCCCTCTGCCTGGACCACTCTCCCTCCACTCCTCACCCTCCAGCTCCTGCATACTTCAGAGCTTGGCTTCACGTCACCTCCTTAGAGAACCTTCCTGGTCCCTCCCCCTACGCTAAGCTGGGTGCCCCCTATGTTCTCTCGCTGGGCACTCTGCTCTGCATTGTCTCAGGTGGCCGTTTGTTGAATGTCTGTCTTCCCCATTAAACTGGAGGGCCCATGAGGGCAGGGACCATGTGTTTTCCTTTTGTATATTCCCATCTAGAGCCTGGCACCTAGCCAATGCTCACCTAACAAAGTGTCTTCATGAACGTTGCTGCCCTCCCTGAGCACCTGCTACCTGCAGGCCTCTGTGCTAGGTGCTCCGGATGCAAAGACGGAGAAGGCAGACCCTGCCCTGAAGTACTCCTAGCTCCTGGGGGAGGCAGAACTTACACAAAGATGTGGTCAGTAATAAAAATGGGGCGACAATGGTGCTTTGGAGCCCAAAGGATGGGCCCTTGGCCCTTTCAACAGGTTCTGCAGATGGCCAGGATCTAGCTTACTGAAGCTGAAAGTTAATTTCCAGAATCAACCTATATTAGTAGGTAAGAGCCAAGTTTCTATTTCCTTGGAAATTCATAAATGGCACAGCTTCCAATTCTTTGGAATTTTATAAAATGTATAAAACCACATTGGTCACTATGGCTGCAAGCATCCAAGAACTAAGTGGAAAGGCTGTGACAAAATACAGATCCTAAACAGAGCCCCCAAGCAAGCAAGGTCACAGCTCAGGAGTAAGGTAGGCACAGAAATGGGTCGCAAGTTCGGGCCTGGGTACCCACCGGACCAGGGCCTGCCCTGGCAGCAGGGAGGATGGGGTGAGGATGACCGTCACTCCTGTTTAATTGAGCATGAACATGTGCTAGATTCTGTCCTAAACACACCACTTATTTAACTCACTTAATCATCACAGCAACCTAATAAAATTAGAGATCTGGGGACCAAAGATTCACTGGCCCAGTGGGGGAGGCAGGTTTCAAACCAGGCAGCCTGACCCCAGGGTAGGATCTTGCTAAGTTTCTGAAGCTCATTCAGGAGAGTCAGAAACCTAACGCTGGAAGAGCAGAAGGTTTTGTCTGGGAAAGAGTGAGCTGATCTGGTTCATACCTCGTGTTCTCCTGCCTCCAGGGAAGCTCCCACCACCTCCTGCCTGCTGCAGTGCCTTCTGCTTTCTGCCTATCTAAGTAGAAGCCGGACTCCAAAGAGCACCTCAACCTGTCCTCCTCCTCCAAGGCTCAGTTTGAAATGGCCTCGCCCTTGCCCTTGGCTGAACTGCTGCACTTACTTTCTACACCTCTCACTCATGAGGCAGGGAGCTGGGTAGCCAGCCTGAGACTAAGTCAATCTCAGGAATGAAGACTGGGGATTCACAAATCCTTGGGCAGTGACGAAACCTCTCTGAGCCTCGCTTTCCTCATCTGTAAATGGGCAATAATAATATCTATTTTGCAGGGTTGGGATTATGAGGAATGAACAATGGGTTACTAGGGACACCGTAATGGTGGGTACTATTGTCACTATTATTTCTTGCATGTCATCATCTGTTTGTTAGTTGTCATCATCTGTACGTTATCTTTGACTCAGGTTGTTTCTTATTTCTCCCACTTGAGTTGAGCTCCTGGAGAGCAGAAACCAACACTATCAATGTTTGTGGAATAAATGAACTCTCCCTTCCAGGATCCAGCATAAACAGCACTCAGTGAATATCGGTGGATTGCAAGACCATAGCACAGGACTGGGCAGGAGAGGAAAGGCCAGCTCAAGAGGCTGACATGCTTTGCCACCATGTTACATTCAGTCAGCCTCCTTCTGGCCCTTGCAGGCATCTGGGGATAAGTCCTGAAGGGCAGGGCCCCCTCCCCTGAAGCACGCATGTTCACGGAGTGTCAGAGGCAGAGACCAGTGTGCCTCACACTCTTCCCTGTCCCACCAGTTCCATGGCAGGTCTGGCAGGATGGGAGGTGGTGCTGAAAGACATGGACAGGGTGTCCAGCTGCAGTATGCCCATGGTGCCTATGGGTTCGTGGCTCCTTCTGCTGACCTGGGTTTGCACCCGTGCCCTCCAGTTTTCACCCGCTCTTGGGTTCTGGATCACCCCCAAACAGCTTCTCCCCATGGTGCTTCCCCACCTCACCTCGGCTCCCTTCTCGCCCATGTACAGAGCCTGACCTGGGTGACCACAGGCTTGGAGCAGAATTGGGGGCTATGGAAAAGCACATCTAAGCTCCTGGAGCATGTTCTGGACTCCGGGTCCAGGCCAATGAGTGGGTTAAAGAGTCAACTAAGTAGATTACAGTCAAATTTTAGAAAGCACAACAGAACAGGACATATCACGGTGTTTTGCAGGTTGTAAAGGTAGGCTTCGTTTCATGTAAGTTTTGCTTCAGTTTCATGTGTCTGGCATGTCCTGACACATGTATTTCTTATTGGGGATTGCAGGCAAAGGGTTTTAAGTCATTGCTTTAGAGCTGCCCTGTCCAATACAGTAGCCAGCAGCCACTATGGCTATTGAGCACTCGAAATGTAGCCGGCCTGATCTGACAAATGCTGGAAGTGTAAAATACATCCTGGATGCCAGTGATCTCATTACTAGTGTTTATATTGATTATTACATGTCAAAATTACAATATTTTGGATATGCTGGGTTAAAAAATAATTATAATTAATTTCTGCTTTTTAAAAAAATGTGGCTACTAGAAAATTCAAAATTACATATGTGGCCCACATTATATTTCTACTGGACAGCGCTGGTCTAGAGTGCTGGATCTTCACCACGTGTTTGTTCAGCTGGCACTGCTTGTTCAGTCAGAATGCATCCGTCCATCCCTTCCTCTTTCACAGCATCAACATCTCTGGAGCACTACATGCTGGGCACAGACTCAGTGCTAAGGACACGGAGATAAGGACACCCTCCCCTCACGTGGTGCTCAGTCTGGTGGGGGAGGTGGACACGCCCACAGTTGGAGTCCAGATGTATGCAGGGGTCCTGAAGCCCAGAGGGCAGTGCTGAGGCTGGACCCAGACAGAGCCCCAGGCCTCATTAGTCCAGCCACCTCATTTTATACTGAACAGCCCAGGGTCCAGAGGTTACTCCAGGTCACCGAGCCAGTGGGTGGCCAAGCCAGGCTGAGGACTCAGATTGCCCGACTCCCAGTCATGGCCCTTTCACTACTCCTGGCTATGGGTGTGGTCACTTGGTCCATCAGCTAAAGCCAGGACAGCGGGGACTGACCCTGTCTGCTCTGTGACTTCACATTGAATGTGGTACTTTTCCCTTTCTGCCTACTGGAGTTGACCCCGCCCAGCGTGGCAGAGATGATAAATCGTCAAATGATTCTTTCAAGGACAGCATCAAAAATGCCAGATGCCTCTGTCTCCCAGAGTTCTGCAGGTCTTTGGAAACCTTTGGCTGCTCCAGGCAGTGAAATAATTAGGTCACACAGCACACGCCCATGATAAATGGAATGTTTGTGTCATCGAGTGCTTGTTCATCCCTCAGAATGAGTGGTCTTTGTCCTGCAGGCCTTGGGAGAGCGCAAACCCAAATGTTGGCCGGTCAGGAAAATGGACTGTGGGAATATTCAAGATCCATGGGAACCCCAAAGAGCTCACTATGACTAGGGGAGAAGGATTGTCATGTGGTGTAAGTGAAGCTACCAGGTGGCGTGATGTGACACTAAAGTCCACTCCAGATCACCACACTGTGGTGCACACCCAGGAGGCTTGCACAGACTAGAGAATGAAGATAGAGAGACGTTCCCAATGTGAACGGGACTGGGCCAAGCTGAGTATAAAGGAAGAAGCCCAAATCTGAGAGTAAGGAGACATGGGTTTCAGTCCTCTGCCACCAATGAATGGGGTGACCTCAGACTTGTCCTGAGCCTCAAATTCCTCCTCTGTTAGACTAGATGGTCTGAGGTCCTCTCCAGCAGCACTGTCTTTGATTCTGGGACTCTCTCTCCAGTCCACTGGGACATGGGCCTCCTTCCAACCTCGGGGAACCATTGACACGTGGACCCACTGCAGGCTGAGGCTGGGGCATGCTGTAGAAATAACCCACGAATGGCACTAGACACGTGACCTCCACTTCTAGAAACATGAGAGCCTCATGTTCTCCAAGTGAGCTGAAAGTTAATTTCAGCACAGGATTCTGGAATCTCACATAAGGAAACAACCGGATGTGGTGTCAGGCCCCGGGAGAGTGGGGACTATTATTTCCTCCAGGCTGTGATTGATGACCTCACCACATTCCTTTCTGTGGGGTGATGGCCTCACGTCTGACAGTATGGAAATCCTCTCCCTGCAGGATAGGACACCACCCCCTTGTCCGTCCGTCTGTCTGCAGCTGCCCATTGTCCTTCCTCCCAACCCCTCCCTGCCATAGCACCCCTGGGTTTGCAGCGGCTCCCTGCTGGTAGATGCTGAAAAGATTCCAGGAAATGACCATGACGTCCCTTGCTCAAACCACAGTTCTCCAGGGGAGGGCTGGGCCCTCACCAGGTTGCAGAGTCTGTGTGGGGTGAAGACTCCTCCTTCAGAAGGACCAGGGGCTTGCAAGGATGAGCGGTCTTCGTGGGGCTTGTCGGGGAGAGGAAGCGATCTGTTCTGTGTCGTCTTGTGGTTACAACAGGGCTCTCAACGGAGTAACCCGCTTGAAAGTCCCTATACTTTTGTTTTTTGCTTACATGAAAGATTTGTTCAGGACACTTAATAAAAACCAGGCCCTTTCTCATTAGTGTCTCATGACATCTGGAGGGGGGCATCCTGTTCCCTGTCTCTGCTGTCAGGGAGAGAATGACTGTGGGGCTGCACCGGGGCAGAAAAGTAAGATGATATTTGGTTCTTTCGTGTCGCATGACTCACAGCATGATGAACTCCATGGTCTTCTTCTGGAGGGACAGCCTGAGAGTCCCAGCTCCCTTGGTGGGGCAGCAGGGAGCACAGGGTTAGGAGTTGGGACACTGACATTGGAGTGGTCATTGGATGCTAATATGTCGTCTCACTTTGGTTATTTATCCCCCTCTCTGGGTCTCAGCTTCCAAATCCATAAAATGGGAGCCCAGTGTTCTCTAAGGCCCCTTCCTGCTCTGACTGTCTGAGGAATTCTCAAATGGAGCAGTAGCTATTGAAGGCAGGAGGAGAAGCAGGAACAGCCTGAAGCACTCACAGCCAGCAGCCGGGGCTAGGGTCACGGAGCCATGCTCTCCTGTGAAGAGAGGCCCCATCAGTGCCTCCCCATTCCTTACCTTGCCCCAGCCGGGAGCCAGTGATGGCCTCTTTGGCACTTCCAAAGCCCAACTCTCTGCAGACCACGCTGGCTGACACCAGGTCCCACTTGTCGTCACAGACAGTTCCCCACTCTCCATTCTTGAGCACCTCCACGCGGCCCTCGCCGAGGTTGGCGCCACCTCTCAACCGCACCAGGGGTTGCTGCAGAGACACACCGTCTTGCTAAGTGCAGAAGCTGATGCATGCTCGGTGGGCACCCACCATCCACTCCTCTCTCCGTCCCCTCGCCCCCAGTCCAGGCACCAGTCTGGAAGCTGAAACTGTGCTGGATTTGCGGGTGGGGAGGGACTCACTCACACAGTCAGCTCTGCTGCAAGCTCCCTTTGCAGCCTTGCATGGAAATTTTGTCCTGGACCCCTGAGGAGTCCGTTAGGGACCCTCATCAGCTCATCACCTCAACCCATGCTCGGCTCAAGGGTCCTTCCTTCAGGACTTCCCTCCACACTCTGACTCCAAAGCCTTGAACTTTGGAGCTACAGAAAGAAGCTCCTACCCCCAAAAGCCTGCAGATTCCAAATGGGCCATAATTCCACCTTGCTTATAACAGAGAGCTTTGGTCTAGCCCTGCAGGGAGACTCCACAGTACTAAGCAGACTACACTGCAATGATCCCACTTGTACACACCAGTGAGAGGCAGGAGGGAGCAGACAGGAGGATGGAAAGACAGGGAACTCAACAGCAGGCCTTACCAAAAAAGCCAGACCTCACATAGCCATGACTCAGGGAAGGGATGTTATAAGGATGGGGAGCCTCACACTGACCTGTCCCAGAGCTGGTCACACACCCAGCCACCTCCTGATTCTACTCCAAGTCCAAATTAGCCTGACTCTTCAGAAGATACAGCCCCACCAGATATACAGAGAGGGTAGAAAGTTACAGTTTAAATGCCCCTAATGCTCACTGACAGCTTGGAAGCCTTCATCTCCTTATGGGTGTATAGAATTACAAGGAGTAAGACCCACTCTCCACCAGCATCTTGACCCTAGTGGATTGTGTAATATGGGAGCTGGGTCACTTGGCACCATCTGTCCACATGCCCTGGTTTGCATCAGTTTCTGTGCACTTGTGCATGCACATGCGTGTGTGTGTGCCTGTGTATACAAACATGTACGTGTGGGTGTTGGGGGAGGCTCAAAAGTCTGTGAGGCTCTGAGTTATTGTCTCTCATTTGATTCGACAGAGGGAGTGAGACTGACTGTGCAGGTGTTCCAGGTGTTTCAGATCAGGCCAGAATCACTGTTCCACCCTGGCCGATGCTGTCTGCAGTGCATGACTCCCCCCAGCCCACCCACCGATGGCCTGGCTGGAGGTGGTGTTTTCGAGTATTCACTTTGAGGCCCAAGGCATCAAACTAGAACTTGTCTCTCCATCCACCAGCCACATCTCTGTCCCCCACCAACTGCACTTCTGGCTGGCTATGGCAGGGAGGGGTGGAGTGACAGCACCCAGATTTACAGACCTCAGGGGCTGCTCTGACTTGGCACTGGGGGGAGAAGAAGGGAGGGACGGGGTGGGTACAAAGCACCCAGTGGCTTCAGGAACTTTCATTCTAGCTTTGAAAAATGGAACAAAACAAATCAAACTGCTGGCTCTAGCCTCTGTTTTCTGTACAACTGTGAGCTCCATTTCCCAAGCTGTCTAGCTGGATTGGGGGGTGGGGGGCTGGGGAGGCTTCCCATGGAGCAGACCATCCTTGACTCAAGCTTAACAGAGGCAGAGTGCCACATAACCTCGACCCAGCTGGCAGTGGCCAGGCAGAGTCAGCTGGCCCTGGAGGGAAGGAAGAGAACGAGGGAGAACGCGGCGTAAGTCGCTCTTGCTCTTTTCCAGTTGGTTTGGTATGAACTTGATTCCTTTGCTTTAAACTGCACGGTAGAAGAATTCCAAAACAGTAGGATCTGGTATTCTGATGACACAGAAGGAAAGCACAGAGGCCCCGGCTGAGGCTGGAGAAAGGCCATGTGGGGTGTGCAGGGGCTGCAAGGGTGCCTGAGCGAACATGATGGTGTCACATCCGCCCATGCACTTCTGAGACCCCTGAGGGGACCGCCTCCTGGAAGTGCCTGAAAGTCACTGCAGAGTTCCCACACTTTCTGGCTGAGGAGGGCCGGGCCCACCAAATGCATTTTACTCCTCCCATTTAAGGCTCCATCTTTTGTCCAAATGCACCACCCCAGCCTGGGAGGGGACACCCGACATGGTTTATGCAGATCTGGCCCTAGTTTCCTTTTCCACTGGAGGAGTGTTATCATACCCCTTCCAAGAGCAGGACTTTGGGTGTTGATGGGGAGGGGAGAGTGGGGAAGGCAGGGAGAAAGATGGGGGAGAGGAAGGGAGGGGGGAGAGGAGACACAGGGGTGATTTGGGTGCACCTGCTGCTCCCACCCCACCGCCCCATCTGGCTGACACACCGTCTGACCCCCCAGGGCCTTTCTCCCTCCTCTGCTCCGGCTCACCCCTGATTTGGGCAGAGCTGACTTAGAACTCACCCCTGCCAGGGTGATGATAAGTACCAAGATTTTATCTGGCACCAGGAATTGCTGGGGTTCAGGGGCTATTACCCCAAAATATGGTGCATTAACATGCTGGAATAAAGCAGCAGCCTCAAGACCTCTCTAACGTCCGGCCCCTCCTGTCTCTCAGTCCTCGTCATTCTCCAAAGCACAGGACAAAGCTGTTCCCTAATCTGCCCAAAGTTAGAACCCGCCAGAGAAGAAAACAATTAGTACCTTTGGTTCTTTCCCTGAATTTTCATTAACTTAACTCATAACACAGGAAAAACAACAAAGTCTGTCAATACACCTGGACAGATTTTTGTCACAGACCATTGTCTTCTCAAAGAGAATCATTTACTAGTCACTGCCAGCTTAATACACCGTCCCAGGCCATTGTGCGTTCTCAAGGACTATTGTGTCCCCCTGAAAACCATTTGCTCCTACACCCCCACCTTCCCTTCCCCTGTGAAGAAGTATATTTAAGTACTGGCACCCCGCTGCATTATTGGGCAATCATTCTGAAATTTCCCCATGCTATGCCTTTTCTTCCTATTAACTGAATCTTGACAGTTGATTTTTTTAAATGAAGCTTCAGGGGTGAAGGGGAAGTTTTTACCTTACCCTACAAATCATCCCTACAAACGATCAGTGACCTCTTCTACACTTCCCTCTGCTCTTCCTGTGTGCTGTTCCCACCCAGCAGCCCCGTGTTAGCAGTTCCAGAGCACACAAGTCACAGAGACCTTCTGGTGGATATTTGAAAAAAGGTCAGAAAGAAGCAAAGCTAACTGAGGGAAGATAGAACAGGGTACTTTCTCTTTTCCAGAAGATGGGTTAAACCTGCCCTGGTTGGGATAATTCACTTGTCCTAAGAAGTCAGACCGTTAAAATGGGGGTGTTCATTTATATGGGAAGACGTACATCTATATCTCTTGAATGCACACACACACACACACTCTCTCTCTCTCACCCCCACACACTCTTATAGACACACACACAAAGGTTCTGGTTTGCATAAGTACAATGTGACTAATGCACAGTTGACTTAGACATGGTAATGGTAGGTTTTCTATCTTGGTGAAAGCTTTTTAACATTGCTGTCTTTTCTGTCACAATATAAACCAAAACATGTTTGAAAACATTTGTAGCTGGTTTCTTGTGATTTTGAGAGGGTATCACATTTCCAACAGTTCCAGAACACTTTTCTCCTTTGGGAATTGCACAGGAGCACAAGGTCCCTCTCTGACCACCCCCATATCGTCTCCTTATGCCGGGTTGGCAGTGTGCCAAGCCTGTGACAGCCCACAGTGGGGTGCTCTTGTCTCCCAGGTATTCATCTTCTGCAGAGGGGACTCTGGTCTCAGAGTAGAGCAGCAATGGTGCTCCCTCCTGGGGGTCCCTGCTGGTCTGTAGCACCCCCCACCCCCACCAGGTGCCAAGCAGCCGCCCCTCCTGCCTGGTCCTCACCTCTGGCTTGTAGGCTTTCCGAAATCTCGAGGGTCCATCAGGGCTGAAGACTTGGCCAGGCACACAACTCACCACAGCTGGCAGCCCATTCTCACAGGTGACGTTCTTCATGGGGTCCAATGACACTTGGGTGCCCAGCTTGCAGCTGGAGATGTGGGCCTCGGTGCCTGTGCAGTCCATGGAGAACGGCCAGTAGCGCTGCTTCCTCCGTGCGGCAAACATTCTGCAGGGGCAGGAGGGGCTGGTGACCGGGGTGTCACAGCACCCACCCCTGATTCCTTCCGCAGCTAGGCAGAACAGGACAGACGTGGTCCCTGCTCCTGGAGCTCAGCCCTGCTTCACAGACAGGGACTCTGCTCAGTGTTTCTTCCGACACTCACTGAGCACTTGGTGTATGCTAGGCACTGCGCTGGGCACTGGGGGCAGGGCCCAGAGGGGGCACACGACCTCCTGTCCTCAGGCAGCTTCCATTCTGGGAGAGAACTAACTCAGAGTAGTGAAATAATAATAATAATAATGCTAAAACCTACAAATACAAAATGCAAAAAAGTATCTAAAAGATAGCAATCTAAAAGAGGCGAGATCCCTGGTCCCAGAAAGTCCCTCAGTCTCAGGCAAGCCAGAATGGTTGGTCACCCCACTCATCTGAGAATGTCAGCACAGTTTGTCATGGTTCCCTGGCTTTCTTTTCCTCTATCTATGAAAGTACAAATTGATTGCTAAGCTCTCTCCCAGTGATATACAAGATTCAGTGTGTAAATACAACAGGAATCGAGGGAACAGTCTTAAATGACACCATCTGGGGGGTCAATGAACACTTTGCTTGGTAATGGAAACTATGCGGGCAATGAACTCTGCCACAGACCTTACCAGATCCTAAGTTGGGAAAATCAGAGAGGTGAGC